TATATATATATATATATATATATATATATACATTTTTCAACAATAATTTGATATCATTTCAACTACACATTCTTCAATAAAATAATATTACACGTAAATCTAAAAATTTTCTTTTTTTTAACTATACATTCTCTATCAATTTACTATTTTAAAATACATTTTTTCAAAATAATGTGTTTTAAACATGGGCTTTTTTGTTAAAAAAAATGTGTAGTTAGAAAAAATATTTTGAATTTATGTGTATTATTATTTTATTGAATATTCTGTAGTAAAAAAGAGAAGGAAAAAAATAAATTTTAGATGAATGGAGCCCAAACAGGTAATCAGTGACGTTAACAAATAAAGGCTCCAGAATGCTCCATCAGAATGAGATAAGTTTAAGATTTTTTCCCAGTGATATTAGCCGGAGTTTGTGTACCCAAACAGATTTGACGGTCAAGATTGCCTCATCAAATCCGCTTATAAACCGAAAGAAAATCCTCGATTTCCTCACTCTGTCGATTATAGAGCCGTATTCGCTACTCGAACCTTTCAATTTCTCTTATCTAAAAAAAATTGTGAATCTAGGTCATGGCGAAAGAGATTAGGTACTTCGAGTTGAACACCGGAGCAAAAATACCGTCAGTCGGCCTCGGTACGTGGCAGTCCGCGCCTGGTGTCGTCGGTCAAGCTGTTAAAATCGCCATCAAGGTCGCCTATCGCCACTCTCTCTACATACGTTTGTAATCTGTGCTTGCTTGTGTTATAACACTTATCTTTGGTGGAAAATATTTTTTATATTTTGTTTTGTGAATTTTTGCATATTGAAATGTGGGTTGTATTTATTATTGATTTATGATTCTGAATTTATGATGGGATTACTTGGAACAGTTAGTGTTGCGGATTTAGAAATTCTGAGCCTAAATTTAGAAAATGTTCTGGGGTTTGATTCCCCTCCAATTACAGTGATTTGATTGAACTAAAATTACGACACAAAAGTCGGAAATGGAGATGTTGTTTGACTTCTTACACCACTAATTACTGGTCCACTGCTGAAGCCTAGGGGTGGACTACATGCTTAATAACTGAAGGATTGTCCTTAAGTCAAACATTTGTTGCAGCGTTTAGACTTTTGGTTATGTTATTAATTTTGCTTCTCCCTTGGCTGGCGTTGCTGCTAGTTATAGCCAATGCATTAACACAGAGCAACGGTAATGCTGACTATGGCGAGATTGTTATAGCATTTTCTGGTGATTATTGAATTATGCTGAGAATGAATCGTGACACATGACTTATTTGAGAGTTGTAAGCTTAACATGTTTGGATTTGGACTGCTTAAGTTTGATATCATTTTTGTTTATCGCATATAGTTTTTCCAAAAGTACATGAGCTGATGAAATTTAATGGAAATTATTTTTATCTTGTACCGTGGAAAAAATGCTTTGTGCACATTCTTAGATTTTCTAATTTGGAAGTGTGAATGATTGTCTGTGTATTTTTATAACAACTCACAGTCAAGCAATCCCTGCTACTTTTATGCAGGTTGGATACCGCCATATTGACTGTGCTCGATCCTATAGAAACGAAAAGGAGGTATGTTTTTCATTCTTTTGCTGTTACGGACAAGATCCCTTTTATTGTATATAAAGATGCATTAGTAGTGTTTTTATGGATTTCTCTTCTCGTGAAATGGGGAAAAAAAAA